TAAGGAAATGGATGTGTGATCCCTTATAGGACAAATAATAGATGAAGTATATTTTAGAGAGTTGTGATATTCCCTCCTCTTGATGGTGTTGGTATGTGTGTTTTTTTTGGAAGGGGAGGGGTAGTTATATTGGGAAATAACCAATCATCACAACCTTTCATATATTGTCCTAAAGGGCGTTACCACAATGGTACCCCTTAAGTATTATTTCCATCAAATAATACACACATATATATAATACATAGTTATATATAATACATAAAAATATAGAACACGTATTAATATTGGTCCTTAGGCCATATTAATTGGAAATATTCCAACATTCTCCCACTTGGCCTAGTGACCAATAATTGTTAAGTTGGCCAAGTATGTGTTCTAAATACTCAATATCTACACTATAATAGAGAAGTACAGTCACACACGTCTGTTTAGATACGGGACCCCCACTAATCATACTATATCACATGTATTAGGACTTTAAGGTCATAAAACGTAAACGATCAAATGTAATGTGGTAATTAATATTAATTTGTCTATGATACCAAAGTTAGTGCGCACGGTATATATATGATAGACAATTAAATATTCAAGTAAATCCTTATATACATGAATTGTTCATAAGAGCACTATGCTAATCAAGTAAGGTCTCGACTAAAACCCATTCTCATGACATGTATGTTCTTGAAATTTTTTGGGTGGTAGACCTTTTATCATCGATCCGCAAGCGTATCATGAGTGCTAATGTGTTAGTAAAATGATATTAAAAATGCGAGTTTAACCAGATAAAAATCCCAGGTTTGAACAAATCACCAGACAAACCGCCAAATGCAAGAACAAAATTAAACAAATAATAATTAGAATAAATGAAATGAAATAATAGAAAGGATAAGAAAGCTTATCGCAGGATCGCCCGTTAAAACGGACTGGCCTTGAAGAAAGATAGCCCCCGTATCCCGATAGCTACTCAGACGGGTCTGGCTAGCTCGCTCCCAGGATAATCCTACTCCGTTTCAGACTTGTAGCTACCTCGACTGAAACCTCCGACCGTTGCCCAATTTGCCTTTGGAAAGTAGAGAAACTCAACGAAAGAAGCTATGGATTTTATGCTCTCAAAAGCAAAGGAAAATAAATTTCTTGAAGACAAGATACGTGCAGATCACAGTAGGTGTATTAGCACTTAAAGAATGTAAAAAAATGTTGATATTTCTGGAAGTTTACTTCGTACGTGAGTATTACAAAGAAGCATGCAGTGGGTTCATATATATTTGAAAGAATTAAAGGAGCATGCGCTGGGGTGTTTCAACGGAAATCAAAAATCAGTTTTAAAACATGGGAAGTAAATGGCAAAACTGATCCATGTTTATGAATCCCATTAATAGCATTAAGGATAATTATTTTGAATTTGAATTCAATTTAAAATCCTATCATCTATTACATTATATTGTTCACACAATTAGAGAGTCTCTAGAATCTCGACATCAATTCCATCACTTATAATATGTCCGGTCAGACGCACATACAAGTGAAAATTAAAATGTCACTTCACCTTATATGATACTTGAACAATGTTCCTTATCATATAATGATTATAAATAATCATACGAGATGATTCAGCCTCTAATATGAAACAAATAAAATCATTGATTTAATACATCACTTTACAATCTTTACAACTATGGATTCAAATTTTAAATCCAAATATGTTAGTTATTCTTTGATGTATTATCAGCCACCTCTCCATATTTAATACAATTATATCTTAGGACACAATAATGTGACCCTAAAAATAATGTTTATATCATCATATTTCCAACAATCCCCCACAAATTCATAGTTGTAGACTCAACTCTAAGACATAATGTGCTTTCAAATATGGTACCTTCCGGTTTGAACCAAATTCTAAGCTCTTACCCCTAACCCCCCATAGGAACTGAGTGAACAGAGTTCTTGAACTCGAACCTTGATTGTGTTGGTGTGGGATAAAAGCAACACACTAACGGCAATGACAACGATCTATAGGGGTGACGCTTTTACGGCCATGCGTCCTGATCCTGTCTCAAGAATGTCATCGAGAATTAACCCTTATTCTCTTATTGCGGCCACACAATAACATTCTCATAGTTGGGCATCTCCAAGAGTGCATTGCTAACACTCTGCTATTAAAGCTTGATCCCATTTAGAGTCTTAAACTCTTACTAACTTAGCAACTTCAACATCTCTAAGGCTTATCAAGGAATAGAACTCATAAAACATATATTAATGAGATGCACAATTCACTCTATGGTTTGTTTATACCACATTGAACCTACTTTATGGGATCTCCACTCAGATAGGTTGGGTTGCCACCGTAGATGAATAATTATTGGGTTTCAGTCCCATTCCTAACCTTGATTTTATCACTTGATTTAAATCAAGTTCTTTTGTTAAAGGGTCTGCTGTATTATCTTTGGATCCAACAAAATCAACAGCAAACACTCTTTGAGACACAAATTTCCTTATAGTTTTTAATCTAACTTGAATGTGTCTCCTAGTCTTTTGATTATACTTGGAACTCCTAATTTTTGCAATTGTACTCATACTATCACAATGCAAACAAATAGGTGGAATTGGCTTGCTGAATATAGGTAACTCGGACATTAGTCCCATAAACCATTCAGCCATAATTCCTGTAGTATCCAACGCACATAATTCAGCCTCAAAAGTAGACCGAGAAAGTACAGTTTGTTTAGTGGACTTCCAGGCAACAGCCCCACCACCAAATGTAAACACATAGCCAGTACACCCATAACTCCCAGAGTTCTTAGCTATCCAGCTTGCATCATAATATCCTTCAAGAACAGGAGGATATTTACCATAATGCAAACACAAGGAAATATTTCCTTTCAAGTATCTAAATACTCTATTTAAGGCCTCCCAATGAGTTCTGTTTGGACAACAAGTGTACCGACTCAGTTTAGACACTGAAAATGCAATATCAGGTCTAGTACAGTTAGCTAAGTAACCCAAGCTACCAATCATCTGAGAATATCTTAATTGAGACACAGGAACACCACTTTCATTTTTATACAAAGCTACTGAAGGATCATAAGGTGTTTTAGCAATTCTACTATTTTTAAATCCAAATTTCTCAATTAATTTTTCAATATAATGTGACTGAGAAATAGAAATGCCTTCAGTTGATCTAATCAACTTTAGTCCAAGAATTACTTCAGCCACCCCCATATCCTTCATTTCAAACTTAGTTTTCAAAAATGACTTAGTCTCAAAAATAATATTATCATTAGTGCCAAATAATAATATATCATCAACATATAGGCATAAAATAATACTTACATCACCTTTACATTTATAATAAACACTTTGATCAACATCTATAAGAGTAAATCCAAACGAAAAAATTATTTTATCAAATTTTTCATTCCATTGCTTAGGGGCTTGCTTAAGTCAATATAAAGACTTAACTAATTTACAAACTTTTGTCTCATTGCCTTTTGCCACAAATCCCTCAGGCTGATCCATATAAATTTCTTCTTCAAGGTCACCATGAAGAAAGGCTGTCTTAACATCCATTTGATGAATTTTAAGACCATATACGGAGGCCAATGCTATGAGAATTCTTATCGTGGTCATTCTTGCAACAGGAGCATATGTATCGAAAAAGTCAATACCTTCTTTTTGTTTATAACCCTTAGCAACTAATCTGGCCTTATATTTGTCAATGGTTCCATCTGGTTTTAACTTCTTTTTAAAAATCCATTTACATCCAATAGTGGTACAACCAGGAGGAAGTTCAACGAGCTCCCATGTTCCATTTTGAACAATAGAGTCCATTTCACTTTTAATGGCATCCTTCCAATAAATGGCCTCGCATGTGGCCATTGCATCTCTAAAGGAAATTGGATCACCCTCAATATTGTAAGTGATAAAGTCACTTCCAAAATCCTTAGTGATCCTAGCTCGTTTGCTCCGTCTTGGCTCATCTAGATCATTTGATTCAAAATCAAAATGACTAGAATTACTAGATTCTACCCCCACATTTGTCATCTTTTCCACTTGATCAGGAATTGAATTAAATGTGGTTTCTTGATTTTTAAAAGAAGTATTTTGGGGCACACCCATTTTCATTGGAAAAACATCTTCAAAGAAAGTAGCATCACGAAGTTCTACAATAGTATTGACATCTATGCCAGAAATTTCAGATTTAATAACCAAAAATCTCAATGCATAAGAATGTTCAACATAACCAATAAAAATAGCATCAACAGTTTTAGGCCCAAGTTTCTTTCTTTTGTGTTCAGGGACTAAAACTTTTGCAAGACAGCCCCACACTTTAAAATATTTCAAACATGGTTTTCGCCCCGTCAAGAGTTCAAATGGACACTTATCTTTATGTTTCATGGGAATTCTATTCAGAATATGGCATGCAGTATTCAAGGCTTCCCCCCACATAAACTTAGGTAATCCAGAATTCTCTAATAAACTGTTAATCATATCTTTAAAAGTTCTATTTTTCCGTTCAGCTACTCCATTTGATTGTGGTGAATAAGGAGGTGTTTCTTCATGTACTATACCATATTTTTGGCATTCTAGTACAACTAAATTAGAAGTATATTCTCCTCCCCTATCAGATCTTAACCTTTTAATTTTCTTGCCAATTTGATTCTCTATTTCATTCTTAAAAATTAAGAATTTTTCAAGAGCTTCATCTTTACCCTTAAGTAGATACACATAGCAATATTTAGAATAATCATCAATAAAAGTGATAAAGTATTTCTTTTGGTCACGAGTAAGCACTCCATTAAACTCACAAATGTCAGTATGAATTAAATCAAGTAATTCTGAATTTCTATCAATTGAATGATAAGGTTTTCTTACTTGTTTAGTTGTAGCACATACCATACATTTCTTAGTTTTATCAATAGAGTGTTTAGGGATTAAATTTAAATTCATCATTCTTTTTACAGAATCTAAATTAACGTGACCCAAACGACAATGCCATAAACAAGAAGAATCACAATTCTCAGATATATAATTTAATTCCAAATAATCAACCACAATCTTAAAAAGTCCATCTGACAAGTAACCCTTGCCAATAAAAAGTCCACCAAATAAAATTACAACTTTATTTAATTTAAAAGACAATTCATAACCCTCCCTAACTAGAATGGAACCACTAACAATGTTCCTTCTAATTTCGGGAACGTGATGCACTCTATGCAAAGTAAGAATTTTTCCCGAAGGGAATTTTATTTCTACTTTTCCAACTCCATGCACACTAGCAGCACTTGTGTTTCCCATCATCACTGTTCTTCCAACCGCAGGCTGATAAGAAACAAAGAGCGATTTATCAGCACACACATGCACATTCGCTCCTGTATCTATTAGCCACTCATTGGAATTATAAATAGTGAAAACTTGAGGGTTAAAAAAAACATACCCATCGAAACTAGTTCCTCCGGTCACCATGTTGACTTGAGGTCCACCAGATTGAGCCTTAGCCTTTTTATTTGGGCACAATTTGGCCCAATGCCCCATCTGTCCACAGTTCCAGCATGGACGGTTTGCTTTTGGTTTCTTTGCAATTTTTAATTTGGCCTTTATTGGTTTAAAAGATGATGGTTGCTTATTTTTAGAGTTATGTGCTTGCTTCCCCCCAGTTATAACATGAGCCTTCGGTTGAAATTCAACAGGCGCAATATAACCCGCTTTCTTATGTTCCTCCTCAACAGTAATGGAATGCATCAAAGATTTCCAAGTGATCTTTTTCATTTTATGTTTTAAAGTCATACCAAAATCTTCCCATGATTTGGGAAATTTTTCTATGACCGCCATCACTTTAAATTTTTCAGGCAATTCCATGTCTACTTCACGAAGAGAATGTAAGATAAGCTCAAATTCTTGTGTCTGTTCTAAAACTGATTTTCCCTCTTTCATGTCAAATCGTAGGAATTTAGAAACAATATATTTTTCAAGACCGTGGTCATCGGTATTATATTTTCTATCCAACTCATCCCAAAGGTCCTTAGCCGTGCCGTGGAGGGTGCAATAGACATCAAATAACATGTTGGAGAGACCCAACAAAATCATGCCTTTTGCAATTTCATCTCTCTCACGCCATGAAGCTTGGCGTTCAAGACTTTTGGGATCCGATTCAACAACGGGGGGACACACCGTCATAATCACTGAAAGCAAGCCCTTGGTGATTAATCAAATTTTCATGCGTTGTTGCCAACGCTTGAAAAAATGCCCAGAAAATTTTTCAGGCATACCGGTTAAATCCACCCTGTGCGAGCCCGTAGCAAAATATTCAGGTGTGCCTTGTGAATTAGTGGCAGACATAGTATTATCATTTTCAGGGGAACCAAAAACATTCTCTAAACCAACAGTTTCATTGTTAACAACATTTTCCAAGTTTGCCATTTTTGGATTTTCCAAAACTCGAGAAATATTATCTTTCTTCAAGATTGTTAGTAAAATGATATTAAAAAATGCGAGTTTAACCAGATAAAAATCCCGAGTTTGAACAAATCACCAGACAAACCGCCAAATGCAAAAACAAAATTAAACAAATAATAATTAGAATAAATGAAATGAAATAATAGAAAGGATAAGAAAGCTTGTCGCAGGATCGCCCGTTAAAACGGACTGGCCTTGAAGAAAGATAGCCCCCGTATCCCGATAGCTACTCAGACGGGTCTGGCTAGCTCGCTCCCAGGATAATCCTACTCCGTTTCAGACTTGTAGCTACCTCGACTGAAACCTCCGACCGTTGCCCAATTTGCCTTTGGAAAGTAGAGAAACTCAACGAAAGAAGCTATGGATTTTATGCTCTCAAAAGCAAAGGAAAATAAATTCCTTGAAGACAAGATACGTGCAGATCACAGTAGGTGTATTAGCACTTAAAGAATGTAAAAAAATGTTGATATTTCTGGAAGTTTACTTCGTACGTGAGTATTACAAAGAAGCATGCAGTGGGTTCATATATATTTGAAAGAATTAAAGGAGCATGCGCTGGGGTGTTTCAACGGAAATCAAAAATCAGTTTTAAAACATGAGAAGTAAATGGCAAAACTGATCCATGTTTATGAATCCCATTAATAGCATTAAGGATAATTATTTTGAATTTGAATTCAATTTAAAATCCTATCAGCTATTACATTATATTGTTCACACAATTAGAGAGTCTCTAGAATCTTGACATCAATTCCATCACTTATAATATGTCCGGTCAGACGCACATACAAGTGAAAATTAAAATGTCACTTCACCTTATATGATACTTGAACAATGTTCCTTATCATATAATGATTATAAATAATCATACGAGACGATTCAGCCTCTAATATGAAACAAATAAAATCATTGATTTAATACATCACTTTACAATCTTTACAACTATGGATTCAAATTTTAAATCCAAATATGTTAGTTATTCTTTGATGTATTATCAGCCACCTCTCCATATTTAATACAATTATATCTTAGGACACAAATTTTAAAGATAATTTTGAAGATGAATCTTTTCAAATAAATTTCCCCCCAACAACTTAGTACAGGGAACATATTAAATGAAGTTAAAGATTAGTAGAAAAGTGAATGAGAATAACCTGAATGGAGATGATGATAATCCAGGATGAAGGTGAGGCAGGCACCGCTGGTGGTGAAATCCATATATATTATCAATGGTCTCCATCATTGGAAGTAGAAGACGGAGATCGGGAAATTGATAAGAAGGCCGGATGGAGAAGAGATAAGATGGAAAGGGGATGCAGAGCTCTGTTAATGCCCAATTTTGATGGCAAGTAACGTCAAATTGAGAAAGAACTGAAGAAACAGAAGAATAAGTAGAGAAAGAAGAGAAACGTCTAGGAGCAAAAACAGGAGGATTTAATTGCGGAGTATAATTACATGGTACATCTGGTATTTAATTTGAGAGAGAAGCGGGAAAATCTTGAGAGAGATGATTCTCCCTTTAGGTATATAGGATTCCAAATAAAATAATTTTGACTAGCTAATGTTATACTACTGAAAGCGACCTAAAAGTGTACAATAATAATGTTAAAATCATTAAAATACAAAGGACATAGATTACAATTTAGGGGACATGGTCCGGCGGTCCGAAACCGGATCTGTCTTTGTTTGGGACCGGACCGGATCTGGAATTTCCGGTTTCAGGTCTAGGACTGGTCTGTCCGTCCAATAGGGGTACCGGTCCCGATTGAGACTGATGTAAGCACATTTTAATATTATGTATATATTTATTCTACTTTCAAAACATTGCCCGTACTAGCTTTCACCGGACTATTCCTAATTATAACTTCTTATATACTTCATAAATTTTTATTACATATTACATTTATTATTCTTTAATATGTTTACACATTTGACTTATATAAAACATATAAAATTCTGATAATACATATAATAAAATTTATATTACATATTACATTTATTATTCTTTAATACATTTACATAAATTTTATTACATATTACATTTATTATTCTTTAATACATTTATATAATACATATAAAATTCTTTCACTAAAAATATTAACAAATAAAAAATAATAAAATATAATTGATGCTTAATTCTGATCCGTGTATTGCACATGTGAAAATCTAAGTTAACAAAGAAGAAGTCAATTAATCACACTATGTATTATGGTTTAAACAAGTAAAAATAAGCAAATAAAAAGCACCATCCTAACTTCTAATGTTTTTATTCTAAAATTTTTTACTAGTGTAAATATGTAAATGATACTTACATATGTAACTTCAGCTAATGTCTAAGGTATTGTATCACTTAATTAATGTATTTTTAAAAGTAACTTAACTAAATGTACTATGTATTGGTTTTGTGTATACATTTTTAATACATATATAAATAAATACACACACACTAGTAATTTAATTCCGGTCTAATCGGTTCGGATGGAATTTTCTGGATTTTTGGTCGGACCGGACGGGAATCGGAATTGGTAAAGCCCTTGGACCGAAGGCCGGACTGGTATCTATCCGGTCCGGGTTCGGTTTGGACTGACCGGTCCGGTTAGGTCTGACTTTCCGATCTGGACTGAAATATGCTCAGACTTAGATATAATGATTGACATTATTGAGAAAAATTTGTCAAAAACTTACTCTTGGAAAATGTAAGAAGTAAAGAAAATCATGAACCTTTGTTTTTGTGTCCATCTCTTTGTTCATATGTGCACTAGGCATTCGCAATTAAAAGCGCAGAAAAAACACCTTATTCCTCCTCCCCAAAGTCCCAAACTTCTCCCGCCCCACCCCTTCCATTCTCATCCCACCCAATAGATCTGCCCTTCCTTCTCCCTGGCTTATTCACGAAACATACACTCAGAAATCCCTTACCCCTCATCCCCTCCTTCTCGCAGAAGGAAAACTATCCTTGTGTTGTTCTCCATTTCACTGGACTCAAAATCCTAAGGAATTTTTAGTTTCTATTTTCGCGTGCTTTGCTGAAGTGTGAAACTGTGAAAAGAACTTTTTTTTTAATTGGTGTCAATGGCCAGTCTTCTTCGGAACCTTTCATCTTTCAGGCGCTCTCTTATTTTAAAGCCACTGGTGCGTTCTCTCTAACTCCATATCTTTTTCTGAAGTTGGTTTGCTATATTATTATTTTCTTCTGTATCTCTAAGGCTAAGCATTGCGCTTTGTACCAGTTTTGTGGCTACTGGGTAGAATTCCTTTAGGTATAGGTCAGGTGAGGCAATACTTGCAAGAAGAACTAAAGAAATGAACTTTTTTAGGAATTATTCTCTCCTTTGTAGTTACAAGGGGTAAAAGTATTGAACTTGAACCATTCTTCATAAAATGTTAACTCTCTTCTTTTGCAACATGGAGTACTAAAACAATACGTTTTAATGGGTTTCGGGAAAGGGAGAAGGAATCAGTTTGCAGCTTTCATATCCCTGTTTTGAGTGCTTGACTCTTCTCTAGAGTAACACCTTCTGAGCTTTTAAGTACTGATATTTGACTCTTTTTCCGCAGGGCTTCAGGAACCGCCTAGTGGGGGCCTCTACTCAGAGATGCCACTTTGCTTCTAAAAGTGCGTAACTTGTCTTCTTTTGTAGCCACCTTTACTACTATATGGATTCTAGTACATGGAGATGGTATACTTGAAATCACTTCCTGCATGGACTTCCTAATATTGCAACACATAGTAGTTGCATATGGATTGGTTTAAGTCAATCCGACATAGGATTAAAGAAGCTGCATGTTTCGATGGCATTGTTCGTGTTTTATTGAAGTTTCAATAATGTGTCTGTTACTCTGTTTATGTTTGGATGTTATTGCTCATGAATAAGCCAATTTTTTCTTAACTTGTTTAAGTTCAGGTAGAAAGAAATCAAGTTCAGAAGAGAGTGAGTCAGGAGAAGAGAATTTGTCCAAGAAAGACTTGGCTTTGAGACAAGCTCTGGATCAAATCACTAAGTCATTTGGGAAGGGATCCATAATGTGGCTTGGCCGTTCTGTCTGCCACAAGCAGGTTCCTGTGGTATCAACAGGTTCTTTTTCGTTGGATATTGCTTTAGGAGTTGGAGGACTTCCAAAGGTTGGTAATATTAAAAAAGTTGCACTGTTAATACCACAATTTGTCTTAGATATAATGCTATAGTTACTACTCCATAGACTGCCTAAAAATTGCAAGATTCATTCTATAGTGGCCTGTAACACTAGCATTGTGCAAGAGTTCTGCTTCTGAGAAGCTGCTTATCATTGTGGAACATACACTTTGAAAGTGACATGTTTATCTTACTATATTCTTCTCAATGCTTGGGAGTTTCCTCAATTCCGTTTAGAATTTAAGCCCAAGAATGCATCATGAATGGAAACAAATGTCCTTGCTGAAATTATCTCTTTGGTATAGTATCCGATGTTGCCCATGATTCTCGAAGCTTATATTGTGTTCCAACTTTTTCAGGGACGTGTAGTAGAGATATATGGTCCAGAGGCATCGGGGAAAACAACTCTTGCTTTGCATATCATCGCAGAGGCACAAAAACAAGGAGGTTACTATCAAATGTCTTAACTCAAGCATTTATGTTGCTCTGTAACTTTATCTTAACTTCCTGGAGTATGAGTATTTACGGTTTACATGATTTGCTAAAGTAGTCTATTTATTCAAGAGCTTACCAATACCCCAGTTCTAAAATAGTCCACACTAAACCTAGCTTTTTTCCCCATGTTAATTGTATGAACACATCTCCTGCCTTTTTTTTGCACATAGACACGACTACTCAAGCCTGTTACTCCTATAGTAGTACAAAGTACAAACTAATTAAAATAAACCAACTTTGATCGCATGATCAAACACACAGAAGAAAAGGAAAGAAACGCGATCAAGTCAAGTCATACTAAAGTCTTGTTAAAGTTAAAATTGAGGATACTTGAGTGGGCACCAAAAATTTAAAAGTGGGTAGAATTACAATGTCATAATGTTTTTTAACAACTAAAGAAAACTTCTGTCATTGGTTTTGATATCCTGATCAACTGCACTGTATAATGCATTATGTAGTACTACCTCCGTCCCATAAAATTCTTCCCACTTTGACTTGGCACGGAGATTAAGAAAGTGGAATAAAGTGGAAAGGTATGGTTGTGGTTGTGTAAGAAAAAGGTGAAATGAATGTGAACCACATAAATTGTCCAAAAATGGTAAGTGAGAAGAATTTTTTGGGACGGCCCAAAATGGAAAGTGTGAAGAATTTTATGGGACGGAGGGAGTATATAATAAGGTCTAGTGGGAGTCACCCCCATGTCATCAAAGCTAGTAGTTGTTCTACTGGTGTTTAACTTTGTTTTTAACCTTTTCAAAGCTTTTGAATTACATGGGATAAAATATTTGTGTACAGTTGTTCATTTGAAGAAAATGCTATTGTAAACAAACTTCTCCATTACTTTAGCTTAAATGGAGACAAAGAAAGTCCATAAATATCCAGATTTATGATTATAGTTGTGTAGAACTTACTGTACAACCTCATTTTTGTCAAAACTTCCTATGTGATGTGATATTATAGAATTAGAAAAGAATGCTGACATTAAACTATTAAAGTGCGTTACTGAAGAGAGACTGTTTCTTTAATTAATAATTTAATATATGTTGTGCTATACAGATAATAAATCTCTCGATTCTCAATGTTTTCCATACATGGGGTTAGATATAATCTACCATTCAGCAGCTCATTCCAGACTTTTGTAGGCTATTGTTGTTTTGTGGATGCTGAGCATGCTCTAGATCCGACATTGGCAGAAGCTATTGGGGTAAACACAGAGAATTTGCTTCTTTCTCAACCAGATTGTGGTGAGCAGGCGCTTAGCCTTGTGGATACTCTGGTCAGGAGTGGTTCAGTTGATGTTGTTGTTGTAGACAGTGTAAGGTCATCACTTAATCAATCAATATATTAGCCTTTATGGTCATGAGCTCATGATAGCCATGAGCAACTCTGATTGGCAGGTTGCTGCCCTTGTGCCAAAAAGTGAACTTGAAGGTGAGATGGGAGATCCCCACATGGCAATGCAGGCTAGGCTAATGAGTCAAGCACTGCGCAAAATAAGTCATTCGTTATCTTTGTCACATACTATTCTGATCTTTATCAATCAGGTTTGAATCTTTGTACTTACCTTTTTAAAACTTTTTTAATTTTTACTGTTTGTTGTTTAACTTATACTGGGTTATTCCATATTATTTTTACCCAACCTTTCCCCTAATGGATCACCTTAAAGTGATATACATATGTTTGCCATAATTCCCATGACACTGAATATCGCTCATATATGCAAACACTTCGCTTACAAGCTGTATCTATCTCAGGTGAGGGCAAAACTGTCAACTTTCGGTGGATTTGGAGGGCCTCAAGAGGTTACTTGTGGCGGTAATGCTCTAAAGTTCTATGCTTCAGTGCGTCTAAATATCAGGAGAGTTGGGAGCGTCTTAAAGGGGGAAGAGGTATAAATTCTAATTGGATAAAATAGTAGTTAGGAATCCTCGTTGACCACCTTGCTTAATCTACCACCTTTCTTAATCTCATTAGATTCTCTTATTTTATGTTGAGGAAAATCTCATGCAGCAAGCTGATTTTTGGTCGTTTTGATAGACATATTTCTCTCATACAGAATATAGGAAGCCAAGTTGTTGTGAAAGTCGTGAAGAACAAGCTTGCTCCTCCATTTAGAACGGCAGAATTTGAAATTGTGTTCGGTAAAGGAATATGTCGTGAATCGGAGCTTGTAGCATTAGGTCTAAAGCACAAATTCATTTCAAAGATGGGAAGTGCATATTATGGTATGAACAATCAGACCTATCATGGCAAAGAATCTCTCAAGCAGCATCTTGCTGATGACGTTGCTGCACGAGAAGATCTTATTACAAAATTAAGGGAAAAGCTCATTAATGACGGCAACAATAAAGATACAACAGAGAAGACTGTAAATGGTAACCCCATTGTAGAAGAGGTTGTTTCCGGTGACACTACTGATGATGAAGGATCCACAATTGCCGCTGAGGTGTGAAAGATGTGTTGGGCAATTAAGTTTTGATAGGTTAGATTCTATCTGTGTATACATATTGTTCTCTAACCCTCAATTTTGTTACATGATCTACATTGCAAATACATGCTCAATTGACACTTATTTTTTGTATCCAGTATATTTTGTACTGACAATTCTGCCAATGATCTCTTATTTCACTCTCTCTAAGGATATAATTGCGTGTTTGGATGATGGTAAATGCTTGGGATATGGATGGATTCGGGCCGGGTCGGGCCCGGGCCAGGCCTAGGCCCGGTCGGGCCGCCGGTTCAAGAACAGTGGGCCCGGGACCGGCCCGAGGGTTGGACGGGTCCGGTTCGGGCCGGGCCACCCGCCCGGGTCACGGGTCGGGTCCGGTTCGGGCCGGGCCGGTTAATTTTTTTTTAATTTATATTTTATATTTTATAGTTTATAGTTTGATACGAGTATTAAAAACAAACTTCAATTGCATTTATTTGAAATGAAATAGGAACTACATTTGAAAATTAAAACAAACTTTAAGAGATAAACATTTTGAAAATTGTAATCAATCGGAACTTCCCGCACCTCCCGATCCTTTGGCTTTGTCACATGACTTCATATGCTTGATTGTCATCCCGAATCCGCCTGAAGCCCCCATAATACATTTTTTTTCGCACCATTTACAAATTGCGTACCACATCCCGGTCTTCGGGTCCTTCTGCTTATCAAAATTATACCGTATAATGGCATTTTGATTTTCCATCTTAACTTCTTGGAGAAGAGAATTAGAGAGTAGATATATAATATATTGGAGAATAAGAGAATTAGAGAGTAGAGAGTTAAGAATAGGATTTAGGAAGAATTGGAGAAGAGATGAAAAAATGTTTAAGATTAGGAGTATTTATAGGTTTTTTTACCCCCCACCCCCCCCACCACCCAACCCCCCGGACCCCCCCTATAACCCACCCAACGGCTATATAGCCGTTTGGGTTGTCCCCAGCCCCACCCCCAACGGCTAGTAGGAGCCCAACCTAAAATATTTTTTTTTTTAAATTTGATCGAACCGGACCCGGGCCCGACCCGGCCGGGCCGGGTCACAAAATTGCTGAACCGAGCCCACCCCGCCTCTCCCCCCCGGTTCAGGCCCGGTCCCGGACCGCCCGACCGGGCCGGTCCCGGGCCCGCACAGTACCGGGCCTGGCCGGGTCACGGGCCGGGTGGCCCGAACCGAATCCATCCCTAGCTTGGGAAGGGAAACGAATAGTGGTGAAAGATATTTTCTTATGCTTGGTTTTTCCTGGTTTAGTTTGGTAAATATTTGTTAAGTGTTTACTTTACTTTTGTTTAAGTTTGATCTTGTTCAAATATGATATGGATTTAGACAGAAACAAGTCAAAGTGAATATCTTTCATGTTCAACTAATAATTTGGCCGAAAATGAAAAAAGGATAAACTAGTAAAATCATACTAGTATTAAATAAAGGGATGTGCGTCAAGTTGGTTAAGTGAAAGAATAGGGATGTACTTCCTCCGTCCTTTAAAACTTATTCCATACATCAATACATGTATAAAACCTCATATAAATGAAGATTTGAAAATAAGTTGTTATGGGTTTGTTCAAAAGTTGGTTTAATGTCCAAAGCTACTCTAAGATAGAAGCATGCTCAAAATAATTTTTGCATTTTGGTAATCATATCTTCTTCTGAATAGTTGTTTCTAAATAAAATTACTAGGCGTGTTTAGTTCAGAAGCAATGTGTGCCACCGTGCCACATATATTTAACCCAACATCTCAAGAACATATATAAAAACAAATTATATAAAGGTGATTTATATGGTTCAAGCCATACAGTTTCAGACTACGTATTGGTTCAAAAGAAGGCCCTTTTTGAGTTTGCGCCAATTGTGATTCATTAATTAAGAAGTTCATGATAGGATACAAAATTATGATGACCTAACTTCATATAGTTTATTAATTAGTTTGTGAAAACATTTTGAACCATAGATCCGCAAAGATGGTTGAAGTCCAAACAACATCTGTGGCACGAATACTGACTGGCCTATGTATGGAATTATATTTGCACTAGCTAAGATTTAAATTTTAACTCAAAGCTGAATATTTGAGCAAATAAAGTTTGCAATTTGGCTCACAACCTAGCCACAATAGATCGACTACGGAATAAAATCATGGTAAAAAAAGTATAACAAAACAATATTTTCAGCTCACTCGTATCTTTGTTGTTTCGGATAGTACAATCTTTTGTAAATAGAAAAAATAAATAAACAAACTCACTAACTTTAATACAATTTCTTGAGTTCTATTGAGCTATATTGTTATACATCAATACATGTATATACACACACACACACACACTTCTGTGTCCAAATAATATCTTTAATTCACCCGGTCCATATTTGTGACAATGTGTTCCTTTTTAGCAACTACTTTATCTTCATCTTCACAAAAAGATTTCTCATTTTGTACCTTTTCTGTTTCATCTTCATTTGTCTTCACATTACTCACATCTTTTTGGGATTGGAATGGGGGAACATAAATCAATGGCTCAAAGGGTATTCCTTGCAACTCCAAGACATGCTCCAACCTTTTCACCACATAGTTCATCGTAGGTCTGAACTTGGGGTGGTGGCTCAAGCATTTGTGAGCCAACGCGGCGACCCTCTTAACTTCCTCGGTCGAGTACTCACCGTTTAGCCTCGGGTCCATAATTTTGTTAAGTTTATGTATGTTCTTCAAATAAGGCTTGGCCCATTCCACCAAGTGTTGCTCTCTCCAAGGCCTCCTCATGTCTATGGCACGTCTCCCCGTTAATATTTCGAGCAAGACTACTCCAAAACTATAAACGTCGCTCAAAGATGTCAAATGCCCTAAAATCAAGTGAAGGATGTGTTAGTGAGAGATATGTGTAATGCTTTGCCTAAACTTCTATAAAAATGGGGCAACCCAGTGCATATTGAATGCACCACGAGGGTTTGGAGAAAGGTCCCACCACAAGGGTGTATAGAGGGGTGAGTCTCCCGTTCTCAATTATTGACGAGAGGCCACTCCCAAGGCTTGAACAAGTTTCCTCTGGGGTCAAACGGAAACACCAGAATCACTATGTCAGTCCTCCTTTCAAACTACCCATTAATTAGACTTTAGGAAATTTACCCGTCATGAGGTACTCAGGTGCTGTGTAACCGTGAGTGCCCACAATACGAGTCGTAACATGTGTCTTGTCGCCTTCAGGACCGTCCCTTGCAAGACCAAAATCAGAAAGTTTTGCCGTGTAATCCTAAAAATATAAAGTGTGAGTGGTTATATGGTATCATGAATCGCACCCATTATCAGAACAAAGAATGGAGCTCATATCAAATTCTTGGTACCGAATCTAGTAAGATATTTGAGGCCTTAAAGTCGCGATATATGACCGGTACTTCTTCCTCATGAAGGAAAGCCAATCCCTTTGCAGTCCCAAGTACAATTTTAAGTCTAGTCATCCATGGCAAGCAAGCACGATGCCCTGCATACATAGTATATGCATCAAGTTAAGATAGCCTATATAATGTGTTTTCCCCCCATTATTAGGCACATAAATGTAATTTCTCACTTCCAAATAAAAGATCTTCTAGACTCCCTCTATTCATGTACTCATAAACCAGCAGCCTATCATTTGACTCCCAGCAATATCCAATCAATTTCACCAAATTTGGATGCTTCAGTTGAGCTAGCATAATAACCTCAGCCTGATCCCAATAGCAAAAGTGTAAAACAGTCAATACAACATAGTATATACTATATAGAACATTTTCAAGGTAACTACACCTATGTTCGAAAAAGCCCTAATGGAGTAAAGGTTCAGTTTGGGGCCGAAAACACGAAAACACGAGAAACGGGGAAGCATGAAACAGGAGACACCATCTCTATTTCAATAGAAAAAGAAGTATTTGGAAAGTTTCTAAAGCGTGCTGAAAACTTTCTTGATTCATAGTACCATTAGTACTTACGAGATCATTCAATTCCTTACCAGCCATTCGCGGTGACCCTGAGCTCCCTCCAAATTCAGCCGCTTAACCGTGACAGGCTCATCATCAATGATCCCTTTATGGACCGGCCCGAACCCTCCCATTCCAAGAAAATTGTGCACAGAGAAGTTGCTGGTGATGAGTCTTAGCTCAGAAAGGGTGAAGACAGTGAGGTTGGAACCAATGACAGAGTTGGAAGACAGGTAGCCGGCAGATAGTAAAGGCCATCCATGGTTGCTGAGATCCTGAACAGATATCCGCTGAGAAGAAGGGTGTTTGGATTCTTGCTGATTCTTTGTGGATTGATCAACGGGAGAGGGAGTCCCGCTGGGTTTGAAGCACCTTGGGGTCATATGGTTGATTACAATCTTGAGAGTCATACTGGGTTTCTGCTTGTTTTGTTTAAGGATTAATGGATAGATGGGATTAATGGGAACTGCCTTTAATTAGCAAATAGGTATATATAGAAGACAGACTGATAGAGATGTCAAAAAGATGAGTGCGTAAGAGCTGAAGTGTTTGTATTCGGCCGGGTGCAGATATATACGTTGCGGCTTGACTTTTGAAAAGGGGCACGTGCAGACGTAATACGGGCTTTTGCTAAAATGGTGTTCAAATTGTGACGCGGTGATTGGGCTTATGCTAAAATGGTGTTCCACAAAGTTTACTTTTTGACATGATTTCCTCATGAAAGTTAATGACTCATAGTAAAAGTAATGATGGGGTGGAGTAAAAGTAATGATCTATATATGATTAGGGGTGGGGGGAGTACGGAAATTTCGATGTACCACATTTATCATATGGGAAAATATCGAAGTTATCGAAAATATAAGTATTCCGACATTTTTAGTATGATAGGGTACTATGCCGAATTATTGAGTACTTCAATATGATATCAATATATATTTTGAAAATAAAAGTATACCGAAAGTCTTATTCAAATAATTTATTTTAATTTACAAAATGACTAGAAACATAAATAATTTGTTTGAATAATTTAACTTTTTTATTAGAGATCACTACTGACTTTAAATATATTTTTTAGCATCGCGCAGACAATAACAAATTGAAAATAGAAAGTGTGCTTTTCTGGGTCTCTTTACTGTGGCATGTTATCCCAAATACAATATGGTTTTTATAGAAAAGTTGAATTCAAACATTGAACTATTGCAGGATCACTTTTATTATTTAGGGTTATGCTTCAAGTTCAAATTAATTGTTTTTCTTTACATTTAAGACTTTATATGGCATTTCTCATAGTCAGTAGTCATGCTAGATAATTCTAATTTTTTGGCAAATTCATAGCAATAATAGATACTTTTACCGTTTTAGTGTATTTATTTATCCTTACTTTGAATATTCATGACAAATTGACAATAATTCGAATTAGTAATCATGTTCGCCTAACCTGATATGCTCATTTCTGTTTACCTTCTTGAGTTAAGCAAGTTTTGTACATATGTTTCTTCCTCAAATTTTGTCCTTTTCTATTCATACATTTTTCTCAGCCTCTTAAACGCGCCTCCAAGGTGCAAGTTTCTAGCTAATTGAGAATACTTTTGAATTTGCATGTGCTGTTTTTGAATGGTGCACAGAATCATGGGATCGTAATTTCGTATTTTTAAAAATCACAACTGCATAGCCATCTACCTTATGGAGCTGTTGGAACATAGTCACATACTACCTCCATCCCCTAATATTGGTACGGAAGGGAGTGATGTGGTTTTAAGAAAAATAGAATTATGTGATTGATAATAAGTTGATAAAGTGAGAATAAAGTAAAAATGAATTATAGTCACACAAATGTTACCAAATTCGGTATAAGACAATAATAGAAAGACATCCAAAATTGAAAAAATTGGATAATTATAGAGGGACGAAGGAAGTATTGCTGATCCAAATATACACACATAGTAATTGGACATGGTAAAACACTAGTCCCATGTTAAGCCATTGCACTAGAAGGTGAAAAGGCCAAATGATATGTTGAGAAGTAAACGAATCACGAGTAAAGAAAGAGAAAAAATGGATGGCAACGGTGTAAACCAAGTTTCATTTGATCTATTTTTTTGTTAACATCACAAATTGAGATTATTTTTAGACATGCCCCCTAGTGGGGATTATTATTACTACTATTGCAAAATCCCTAAAAAGTTAAGATTATTATATAAACTTTTGCCTAGTTTTCATAAGCACTTTTCCATGTAATTTTCAAATTTAATTACTACTATTGCAAAATCCCTAAAAAGTTAAGATTATTATATAAACTTTTGCCTAGTTTTCATAAGCACTTTTCCATGTAATTTTCAAAATTAATTACTTTTCAATAAAAGAATGTCAGCAAAGAGCTTTTCCATCTGTAAGACTGTAACCTCATCCTCAAATTCGATATAGCCTCATTGGGTATTGTGCTATTGTTTACTGTCTTTAAGTTTTTTTCCAGTCATTTTTTGTTACTTTTGAATGTTCTCAGAATTTTTGTATAATACTCCCTCCGTCCCTAAATAAAAGCATCTGTTTCCTTTTCGGGCCGTCCCTAAATAAAAGTTCTCTTTCCTTTTTTGGCAAACAAAACAGTGCAAAACAGTGCCAAACAGTGCCAAATAGTGTCCAAACAGTGCCAAACAGTACCAACCAAACCCACTTTCTTAAGATGTGTGTAAAATGAATGGATACTTTTATACAGGGACGGAGGGAGTATAAAACATGTTCACAAGTAAGCCTTGAAATGTAGATGGGTTCAAATAAAAACTAAATTATGAGTTACATATGTTTAAAACCTACGCTAAATCTTCTACTAAAGCGCAAAAAATTGATTTAAATATGTCAAAACCTTAATATATAATAAAACAAAGATAAGTCCTGGGGAATAACTAACTACCAGTACTGATGATGATGATGATGAGTACTGATGATGATGATGATGTAATAATATTAATTAATGACCATATAATAATAAATTGATGTTAATAATGATAGTAGTAATAGACGGATGCCACGCCACTATACTTCATCATAGGAAGTTCAAAGCTGTCAGGGCATAACGCCATATTAAGTTGCATGCGCTTGACAAATTTTACTGAGGACGACCACCTGGTGATTGAATTCCATGCCTCTTGAAATACTCTCGGAATCCATATGCACTAAGATCATGATTGAACTGGAGAGAGAATAAACAAAAACCAAAACATAAGTAGTTACTCATAGCAACATAATTATTAGCCTAAGGTGAAAATCTTAGCCAAGTAAATTTCTAGCTTTCTTTTAACTTGGTCATGAACATGAAATATTGCAAAACGGTCAAATAGACCCAACTACTAAATTGAATTTGGTGTGCTAGAAAGCCACTGAGAATTATTATGGCGCACTCAAGTCCAAGAAGGATTTCATCACTCCTCTAAATTGGTATTCAGCTCATAAACAAGAACCGCTCACTGGCAGAATAATTGCAGTTGCAGAAATTTAACCAACATTCTTTGATTTTCTCCAAACACAAATTAAATAGTTGGGTCTGCCATAGTTATGGCTTCAAAGGCTTTAGTACTTAGGACGATAATGAATATTTGAGAGATTCTAAGAGCACACCTGCTTGGTACATTCTTCAACATCTTCATCGGTATACTTCACAAAGGTCAGATTTGGATATTTTCATTGTCTTGATCGCTCATCTATGTTCTTTTTACTAGACACCCTCTCCTAGTCGAGACCAAGGCTTCACAATTACAGTTTGTGTAAGGTAATGCTTAGCGAGGTAGTGAAGGGGATGAATGTAGGATTGGATCCTAAAACATCATTTAAAAGCTGATTTGTCAATTATCTTGGGATTGGATTGTTATTAATAGAAAAGTGTTAGTAATAGGAAAGGAATGAAACGATGATGAGTTGGGTTGATGATCTGAAGGTGTCTTGGTAGTGATTGGTGAGCAGAGATAAATCTCCTAAAAAACAGATGGTAACCTTATAATACAGATAGTTTATTCTTCCAACAGACCAACTTCCATTTTGATACTTGGGTTGCAAAAGCATATATTATTGATAGTTTACTTCATGTCTTGTATATAAGCTCGTGAAATTTATTATCATTGTAAAGATTATTGCTAAGAAAATGAAAACCGGGCCTTATATTTTGTTAGCCAATGAAAACACACAAAAAAAAACTAACAAGCCCATCAACTTGGTCTGTCTGACGAATGTGTTATGGTTCCTTCCAGGTTTCATTATGACTGAAACATAGTGGTTTCTGAAATCATAAGGAGGGTGCCCTCAATTAGTGCATTAGTGGATTAGGAATTTCGTGTTACTGGATTACACTAAAATTTAAGTGTACTCTATTAATTAAATCCATTTTTGTTAAAATCAATTTGCTACTACAGCAGACATTTCCGTTTACCTTTTTTACATTCAAAAGCAATGTTCACTGCATAACTACTTTATTACTACGTATCTTTTATTGCAAGCAAACTTGTCATTATAAGTAGAAATTTTATTTGGTCCAAGGCAGATTACTTGGCATCTTAAACCACCCCTACCTAATGAGACTCTGTTAGAGTGTACTTCGTATATCGTTTTTCAAGTATCTCTATCATTCTGATATAGAAATTGAAGTTCCGAGAAGCAAAACCTTTTTCACATAATAGTAGGAAAGGTGAAACAAAAAGATAAGCTACAAGCACTAGGAAAGGTCAAAGTCTGAGTTTAAAGCAAAAGGTGTCAACGGAGTAATATGAAAGCAATTGATTATGTAAAAGAGGATGGCAACGGAATTATAAAGAAAACACTAGTTGCTACAAGCACAGAAACTTACAGGTAAGACTTTCACAGAGTATCTTGTTACATTTGGATCAGCAACCTTACCCGGATTAGATGCCTGTTACCGAAAAATAAAAAACAATTCAACTATTTTAAACTAAATAGGTTCGTATCTTATACAACAAACAATGAGTCAACAAACTATAATATGAAGTGAGTAAGTGACAAATATTTCATACTACATACACAGATAGAATTCCTTCCACATATATTGTTCGTAAAAGTTGTCAGATACTACCTGGCGATTTGACGATTTGGAATGACTTTGCCTAAATGTAACATCAGAAAGAGGGTATAATCTAATCCTCGTTATTAAATCTAAAATTTAATTGACCTAATTTTAGATCATCAGCATGTCCATGTTTCTGTCAAGGCTAACCACACCACCAATACTTTATTTACTGTGGTTCCATTTTTTTACCCCCATCACCAAGTTGGTGTTGGTTCATTCCATGAAAAGGGATTGTGATTCATTAAGAATCATGATTATATTAAATACCCTCTGCCACTCACCAAATAAATGAAATAAGCATTCCTTGCAAAACACTACAAAGCATATTGATAAGACTGACTTCATTAATAATTGCAATGTACGACTATTTTGTTTCAGCGTGTAGAGGAATTAATGTTTTCCATCATTTGCAATGGAGCCAAAGATTCATTATTTTTTGGCTTGAGATTATGATGGAATAAAGCAAAATGGCTCATTAAACTGTCTGCGCTTCTTTGTTATGGAGCAGCAGTCAGTCCATGCAATTTTGGACGCGATTTTCACTATGGGTCATCCGGAAACAGTATCTCTGTGCTTTAGTACATGGGTAAGACTGCATACATCCGACCCCCCCTTACCCCACCGTAGGTGGGAGCCTTTGCGGCACTGGGGTAAATGAAAATGAAAATGATGTGTAGAGGAATTAATGTTAGAACACAGCCTCATTCTTCGGTGTACTTCCACTATCCCATTTAATTTGTCTTATTTTCCTTCTTGTGTTCTTAAACTTTTTCCACTTTCTTAAGTTAAACATCACTAGCTTCTCGTTTTTTCATTTCACTTTGACTGCCTAACTTTTTAAAATTATTTGATTATAATGGTCACCCTATTTAAGAGATAATGTATAAATGCAGTCAAAATACATTATACTTCCTCCGTTCCCTTTTAATTGCAACAGTCAACATTTCACGTTTGTTAACGCACAAGTTTGACCATTAATATCTTTCATTCCTTATTAGTAAAAAAATTTTAAAAATTCATATTTTGAAAATTTAGAATAAGAAGAATTTAACAATATTTTTTAAAAATTTAATTTATAATACTTTAATTAATAAAATATAGTCAAAGTAGAATATGTGAATAGTGCAAAAAGTTCAATGTTGCAATTAAAAGAGAACGGAGGTAGTAATTTATTTGTTTTCATCAAGAGTTGGATAAAAAGAATATGAACCTAATGTTTTAGGGCAGAGGGAGTGTGATTTCAAAAAGCTAAATATGTGGCTGGGAATAAATTAAAAAAGGATAAACTAAAGGGGCTGTGGAAATTTGGGGAGTTTACCTTATCCTTGATTTCTTCTTAATATTTCTTGGATATTTTATTACCATAACAAAGCTCCCTTTTAAATAGGGATTGCGTGCGCGAAAATACCTAAAACAAGGAAAAGGAAATTCTAGCAAATCACTTCCTAAAATAGATTAACTAATGAAGGTAATAAAATCAAATGAAGAATAAAATCAATCAAGCACCATAATAATACCACAGGAGGGTCATGTGCATGAATCATACCACAGGAGGGTTTGACACATTCTTTAAATCACAAGTGGCTAATGCATAAAATTTGCATATCGCAAGGGGGTTTGGCCGTTTGGCGCATTAAACCCTGTGTTGTTGAAAAAACTTTCTGATAAGTAAAACAATTGCTATTCAAAGGACAAATGTCATCAACATATTTAGGCCTCTAGTATAGAGACAATATGACCCACTCAAAGACACCACAGTAACAATCATTTTCATGTCTCTCTCTCTCTATATATATATGTGCATTTATGTGTCATATGTGTGTTGTGTAAACAACAAAGTAAACGGAGTAGCTTTATCACACTCCCACAAAGTATTGAATAGAGGACGTACTTGTTCTGGACTGTGAAACATCTCAATGAAAGGGTATTCCTTCCTTTGTCGCGTTATGCAAAATCCAGGGTACTTTGGGCACTCAACCTGAAATTATTAAAGAACCGAAATGACAGGAAAATGTATTAATGTCAAGTTCAGAATACTTATGTAAGATTGTGAGAAAACAATGAGCTCTTATGAAGAACGTGAATCATCAATGCAATAGATGATGGTCATCACAGTAAAAAAAACAGTAATAAGAATGATTCTCCTTCTAGGCCTGCTGAAAGCTCGGGTGAACTAAGGGCCTAATATGTTAAACCAAAGCACGTGGAGGGAGAAGAGAGTGAGTGGTAGCAATACTGCAGATATGAATGCGACTCTGGCCCCTAATATTATAAGAGGCCACTTACACGTAAAAAATTTACATTAGGATAGAACTCAGCAGCAGCTTCCTCCAATACTTTATCAAGATGTCTTGTATAGTTACCCCTATGAATTCCAGACACACATCATGAGATTTAATTCGAATTTTAACCAATTGCAATCATAAACCAGGAAGGAGAAGAAATATGACTGAAAGAATCAACTAGGAATTACTTGATAGTGAATGCAACAACCACAGGATTTCCTTGATGAAGAAGCTGAACGAATTCACGCTCCGATGTAAAGTGAATAACTTTTGATGGCCCAAGATTTTTCGGGTAGCCGGTGTAGTATCTTCAAGTTACTAAAAACGTTTAGATTACTCAGGCTAAAAAGATAGGTTATATACTTATATTCAATGATATTATAGACCATTTCAAACAACACACGAGTAGTTATCTCCACACAACATGCTTATATCATATCAAAACAGCTACCAATGGAAAGCCCATGCAACCAAATCTTTGATACTAAAACAAACCAAGCACATGATGATAATCATAAACATGCTGCTTCAGAAGAGGAAAAATGGATAATATTTGCATTTGAAGCATACTCACTTGCAAGTAGCACGAAGATTTATCATCAAATTACTTAAAAGGGTTTGGTCCTCCATCTCACTGAAATTAAGATGGAAAACGAAACAGAGAATAATCATATGAATAGAAGGCACATAACTAGAAGAATGAGATTTGGAGAAAAAAAACTGTAAGTTAACCTAACATGGACTCAGGGGAGGGGGGGGGGGGGGGGGTTATCATTCAGTGAATATAGAGCCTCAAAAGAAATCTTTCAAAACCTTGATTTCGTCAAAAAGAGCTTTGGAGTATTGAAAGATTCGAAATCATGACTGCATCTAATGAGAATTTTTTATATGGCAGTAAGTGAATGAAGAAGTTGAGATACCTGGCTGGACGTGGAAGAATGGCGATTGGCGATCGAATTAAAAGAGCAAATGTTATTTTTATGTTTGTTCTTTGTTAAAGTGTGGTTGAGGATGTTTTTACTTGGACTGTTTTCGGTCCCAGACCAGATCAGACTTGACTTCCGTAGTTATGAAATACACAGAGACCAGACATTTACAAGACTAGTTCAGACCTGACCTAAACAGACCTGACCTAAACAGACCAAACCATCAAATTACAGTCCAAGTAAAAACATCTCAGTTTTCAAAGTTGTTTGTGTCTAGAGGCAGGGCCGGTCTGTACGTCTAACGGGAGGGCGGATAATATACACTGGGCCTTAATTTTCAAAAAAATGTAAATTTTCTTCTTCTTAAACTAATGTGCATAATAATAATAATAATAATAATAATAATAATAATAATTCAAGACCTTTATAATAAAGAAAAGATTTAAATTCATTAAATTAAACATAGTAGAATCACGATTTCAAAATAACAAAAAATTACTTAAATACATTTCTTATTGAGCATTGTGAAGTGAAGTCGAAATAGAACCAAACCTCACTGAATAGCCGGGTTTGAATACTTTTTTTTAATAAAAACAATGATATTTTTTTAATGGGCTTTAACCGACCCTACCCGAACCCGGACCGAACCCGAGCCTCAAAAAACCCAGCTCAGACCGAATATGTCGGGCTTTTTTCCGGTCCCATTTTTTCATAAGCCGAGAAGTTTCGGATAATTTTCGGGTAGAGCAAAAACCCGACCCAACCCGGACCGATCCCACCCCCCTACTGAATACCAATCAACCATTAAAAAACTATAAAAAAAATCAATTAATAAACTAATCAAATATTATTATAAATCAATAAAAGAAAAGGTCTAAAATTCTAAAACAGTTAAGCCATTAAGAAATAAGGAAGGAGGCCTTACATTTATATAGAAAAACTTGAAATGGAACAAATTAGCACAAACTATTTCAGTTAGTAAAACCAATTGTTCATAAAGGATTTAATAAATCATTAATAATGCACGGTTTATAGAGCCTCAAAAGAAATCTTTCAAAACCTTGATTTCGTCAAAAAGAGCTTTGGAGTATTGAAAGATTCGAAATCATGACTGCATCTAATGAGAATTTTTTATATGGCAGTAAGTGAATGAAGAAGTTGAGATACCTGGCTGGACGTGGAAGAATGGCGATTGGCGATCGAATTAAAAGAGCAAATGTTATTTTTATGTTTGTTCTTTGTTAAAGTGTGGTTGAGGATGTTTTTACTTGGACTGTTTTCGGTCCCAGACCAGATCAGACTTGACTTCCGTAGTTATGAAATACACAGAGACCAGACATTTACAAGACTAGTTCAGACCTGACCTAAACAGACCTGACCTAAACAGACCAAACCATCAAATTACAGTCCAAGTAAAAACATCTCAGTTTTCAAAGTTGTTTGTGTCTAGAGGCAGGGCCGGTCTGTACGTCTAACGGGAGGGCGGATAATATACACTGGGCCTTAATTTTCAAAAAAATGTAAATTTTCTTCTTCTTAAACTAATGTGCATAATAATAATAATAATAATAATAATAATAATTCAAGACCTTTATAATAAAGAAAAGATTTAAATTCATTAAATTAAACATAGTAGAATCACGATTTCAAAATAACAAAAAATTACTTAAATACATTTCTTATTGAGCATTGTGAAGTGAAGTCGAAATAGAACCAAACCTCACTGAATAGCCGGGTTTGAATACTTTTTTTAATAAAAACAATGATATTTTTTTAATGGGCTTTAACCGACCCTACCCGAACCCGGACCGAACCCGGACCGAACCCGAGCCTCAAAAAACCCAGCTCAGACCGAATATGTCGGGCTTTTTTCCGGTCCCATTTTTTCATAAGCCGAGAAGTTTCGGATAATTTTCGGGTAGAGCAAAAACCCGACCCAACCCGGACCGATCCCACCCCCCTACTGAATACCAATCAACCATTAAAAAACTATAAAAAAAATCAATTAATAAACTAATCAAATATTATTATAAATCAATAAAAGAAAAGGTCTAAAATTCTAAAACAGTTAAGCCATTAAGAAATAAGGAAGGAGGCCTTACATTTATATAGAAAAACTTGAAATGGAACAAATTAGCACAAACTATTTCAGTTAGTAAAACCAATTGTTCATAAAGGATTTAATAAATCATTAATAATGCACGGTTTACCCATTTCAATTTTCAAAACCGAAAAAATATGAGATATATGAAGAAATCATGTAATATAGCTATTGTGCAACATACAGCTACCCATACATCAACATATTCTAGAATTGTATAGTACAAATCTTAAATAAGATGAATGATAAAGAAGATAACAAACTTTTCTCACAAAGAAGATAGCAATTCAAACTAAAGCGGTGAGGCCGGAGGAGTACCTGAAGAGTGAAGGATGAACCCCTGACCTATTGAAGCGGTGAGGCAGACGCAGTCCGCAGTGAAGCCTGAAGGTGACTCGGACTGGAAGTGAGCCTGAAGCCGCGGTCAGCGAGTCGGCGTTCCTCGGTTCCAGCGTAAGCCGGCCGTGAAATCCCAATGGAAGTCTCCGTAATACTCTGGTTACTCGGGCCTCACGTTTTCGGTATTCTTGGGCCGGCTGTTGGGCTGGACAAAATTATTAATTTAGATTTTTTTTGGAAGCAATTATTAATTTAGATTTTTTTTATCGTCAACTAACCTTCTTTCATATCATAAGCTTCAGGATCATTACATCAGAATTGACACCAATTAAAATCCAACAACTACGACTGTAAACCCTATTATCAGATTTAGAGACGGTCACCCTTGAAAGAGCAACGCAAATCGCTAACCATGTAGTGGGCTTGACACAATCATCTCTATTCTCATAGATCCAAACATACTCAATGACATAAAAAAGGTTGAATTCTCAAACAAACTGACCAACCTAACAACATAGACGATAACAAGAAGCCAAATGACAGAATAAAAATAACCAATAGGAAAACTTCCACGAACTCTAGCACAAGTGAAGGGGATTCACTGGCCGGAAGAACCACACCTTAGATCTACTAAGGAAAAACTAAACCCTAAACCTGCTAGTGAGAGACCGCGGCGCTCATCATCCTCCAAATTTTATAAACCTTAATTCAGTTAATTATAAAACCAATATGAAAGTATGTATGGATTAGTATATATTAATTTAGAATTGAAATTTGGTCTAATCACACATACACCTATATTATAAAATTATAAATACTTCGTATAAAGAAATATTCTCTCCCTTTCAAATTGAGTTTCATAGATGATTTTTTCGAGCCAAGCATATTATTACTTAAATTTTAATTTTAATTTTACAACTGTATAGAGATTTTAATGTAGTTTCTGAATATGTGAATTTTAATAATTAAAATTGAATTATCAATAGGAATTGCTTGATCACTTGCAACATGGTTTCATAATTGTGATTTTTTTATACTAGTTAGATAGAGTCATATAATTTGTTTGGTTTCATACTAGTCAGGCAAACGTCGTCGCACACTTCCTGGCCCAGACTGGTCTCAACGTTCCACGACTCACAAGTCACAACACACGAACTCCATAATCTTCCGACTAGAGCGAGAACAGCTTTCACTGAGGACAAACATGGTAGATACTACTCCAGGGATGCGGGCTGAGCTTCACAAAGAAGGTAGATAGGCAACGGTCCGACTCCATCGCTCTCTCAAAGAACACTCTCGAATCTAGGGTTGGGTGACATTCCTTGGAGGTTTATGTTGGGTGCAGGTTTTTATTCGAAATTCTTGAAAGCTTGCGGCTGGTGTGTTTTATGGTCTTTGGCCGGCCCAAAAAAGAATCTCTTTGTTTGTGGAACTTCATTGGACCCCTTTTAGTGTTTTGTTGTAATCTTTACCCGATTTCGATTTTTAATAAAAATGGTAAATGTTTCCCGACATTTACCACACCTATCTAGGTGCTTTTCGGAAGAAAAAAAGAGAATCACCAAATAGGCATTACTACTTGAGTTTAACTAAGGAGAAGCTTGCAATCTCAGGATCGTGATCGAAGTTGCTTATAAATGTCCTTGCCACGATACAAAGAGAGAGGTATGCTTGCGTGATTGAACCGAAAGACTTACTTTATACAAATATAGATGAATCTCAGAATTAAACTCAAAATCGTAAGTGGAATATATGTGTGCATGGATGGGTGGTGTGCATGAAGTCATGAAGTGGTTCTAGATGCAAAGGTGGCATAACAAAAGGTGAATACGACATGTGTAGGACGAAGTTTCCCTACAGAATCAAAAGAATAGAGAGAAATAGAAAAGCAACAATGTAGCGATTAGATCTCAAATATTACGAACGAGGCTCGACCTTCACTAAGTTAGCAAATCCCTCCACAACACGACGGATTCGGAGCCCGACCACCAACCCTTGAGACTAAACCTTGGTGGTGACTCTCCCATTCGCTCGAACTTGCTTCCACTTAAATCGATCTCACAGATGAACCAATTAAACACCACCCTTAAACATAAGCACACACCACCGCCTGTTATCATTGGGAATCGACCCGGCCGTGAAGATGACACGTGGAGGGACTTAGACCTTTGTGTCTTTTTCATAAACTTACTTTAACATCATGTGACATTGGGTTCTTATGCACATTTCTCCTTTTACAATTTTCCATATATGGCCTCATTATGTGATCATATTAGTCTTTGAAAAATGTTGGTATCTCCTACGTCCAATTGAATGTATGGACACTAACACAATTTGCTCTCCATAGTAACAAACTCGCCAAGATTTAAAATTTTAATATGTAACGATATATCAGACCAGCAAATTTTAGTCAAAAAAAAACATCCTAACTAAAGTAGACACTCATATTATTGAGGCTCTCATAATATCAACATAATATGATATTATTGAGGCTTAGACAATTTTACCACAACAATGTCATCTCATGCTTAGTTATGCAATGACAATCGACAAGAGTCCGAGACGATAGTTTTTTTTATGGTAAATAGTCTCATTCCATTAATTAAGTAAATCATTTGTCAATTGCCTTACAACTTGAATAGGTAAATTATCATAACTATTCCTACGATCTGGATTTAAAACGCTAGCCCAGGCAAGTGCATGAGCGGCACAATTAGCAGATCGCATACAAAAAGACAGAATAAAATTGTCATTTTCCTTAAGAAGGTGTCTTATATCCGCAAGATCAGATCTGTGTAGGATAAATCTCCCTCATTCTCCATTGCTTGAACGACTTGGAGAGCATTTGACTCTATTTCCACTTGCCTCCAACCTTCTCTGATAGCCCCGAGAATAGCATCTCGGACACCTCTTGTTTCTGTTTCAGTCGGAGACCAATCTGCCGCCTTAGTCTCGCTAGCAACCCCCACTACCTCTCCTTGAGAATTTCTTCCGATCCATCCCCATGCCCGTTTCCCGCCCTTCTCATCAACCACAGCATCCACATTAACCTTGACCCACCCTATTCCGGGACGCATCCATCGCTCCTATGTCCTTTCTGCTTGCTGCCCCACCTCCTGGCTCGTGAATTGTGCATCCCGCTAGCCTTGCAATGGCGGACCCACTAAGGATCCCATGAGTCCCGGGACCCCATGCACTTCCAAAAAATACCTATATATATTAGATATATTTTATATAAAATTAAACAATATATGTACATTTAGGTCAAAACAACAAATGTATTGAATGAAAGAAGCAGCGAAATGGCACCACGGGAAGATTTAAGACTCATCTTGTGGGCGGAGGTACTGAGTTCGAGCCCCTTGCACGCCCCTTTTTTATTTTTCCAAAATTTAGCGTATAAAATCTGTGAATACTATTTTTCTCTGAATTTGATCATCGTCGATAAAATACACTCTGCATATTTTTATATAAATCGGTTTAATAAAATATTACTCTAATTAAATAATTATAATTAATGCCCGGGGTAATTTGAGTTTGCACCCCATATTGTTGTTCAAATTAGACTTTGCACCCCGTTTTTAAAAATTTTTGCTTTTGCACTCCAACCCCATATGAAAAGACAAAAATGTCCTCTATTAGGAATATGTTGAAGGCCAACGGAGTTGTTAATGGAGGGACATTTTTGTCTTGTCACATGGGGTTGGGGTGCAAAAACAAAGATTTTTAAAAACGAAGTGCAAAGTCCAATTTGGATAATAAAATGGAGTGCAAACTCAAATTACCCTTTAATGTTTTTCTTTGATTTGTTTTCTGAGTAATTACTTTGTATGAAATTAAAATATACACATTTTGATTTTAAAATTTCAACTTGCATTAATTGTATTTTACTTTTTCCGAGTGTAATATAAAGTGAAATGATTTTATCCTTTACATAATTCATTTTTTTTAATTAATTATTAAAATTTCTTTGAATGTTAAGATTAAATATTAAATTTATGTATTTATGGATGTTTTTCAATGGTTGAATGATTGCTTAGTTACATATGTTGAAAGATGTTTTTGGTATTACCAATGATGATTCTATTATAGAATATACCCAACAAATGAAACCTAGAAGAGTACATTTGTACAATTGTAGAATGATTTTTATGTAAATTTGTGCGTTATACTATCTTAATGTTTTGATGATGTACTTGAACTATGAAACATTATGTTTCTTTAATATTTTATTTCACTTTTTATTAATGGTATATTAATTGGAGTTACATTAAGGTAGGGACCCTGTGACTCTATTTTTCTGAGTCCGCCGTTGCAGCCTTATAGTCTCTGCGCACTGTCGGACTGCCATCTCCCCCGGGTCTCAGCCTTCCATACATCATCGTTGCGCCTCTTCCACAAGCTCCAAAGGAGCATTATAAATCTGCACCAAAGCCTCATCATCTTTCACTTCCAAACTCTCCTTTACCCAGACCTCCAGTCTCGAGTTGTTGCTGCTCAAATTCACTCCAGCTAGGTCCCATACACTCGCAGCAGTAGGGCATAGATGGAGGATATGATCTGTCCGTTCCTCCTCTAATCCACACAACCTGCACTCCAGGGGAATCAACACTCCTCTTCTCCGCAACTTGCTCACAGTAGGAAGACAGTCCTCCATAGCTTGCCAAAAAATAAAATTTCACTTTCGGCGGTATATTCAAATTCCACATTCTGGTCAACCCTTTCCAAACCCTTGAATCCCTTGACCCAACTAGCTTTTTGTAACAGCTTTTGACCGAGAACCGACCATTCTTTTCTCCATTCCAAAAAAAATTGTCTTCCTTTTCTATCATACTAATTGGAATATTTAAGATCCTCCCACTATCCTCTCGTGTGAAGAGAGATTTCACCCTCTCCTCGTTCCAACTCTTTCCATCCATTGTCCTTAAAGCGGAAACGTTCATATCTTTTATTCCCCTTGGTTTTTCTCAATTCACACGACCGGAGCCCGGCCCCGGCAACCAAGCATCAGCCCAAACTTGGACTTCCCGCCCGTTGCCCACTCTTCTCCTAATATTCTCAGCCACACCCTTCTGTGCTTCAAAAATGCTCATCCATATATACGAGGGATCATTGCCCAATTGCGCATCTAAAAAGGAAGTATTAGGAAAATAGCGTGATTTAAAAACACGAGTAGCCAAACTACTAGTCTCTACAGTAAGCCTCCAAG